GTGTTTGGCACTGTAGGTCAGCCGATTGGGATAGGATGCAGTCTTTCTTTGCATCCTACCCTTGGGGGCGGGTTTTCTTCTCGCCGGACGATCTCAACGTTGTTGCTGATTCTGTCGCTTATGTGGTACTCCAGGGTATGGAACTTTTTATTCATTCCTCTGTGGTGCCCATCGGAGGCAAATCTCAGCCGTGGTTTGGTCGCTCCTCTAAAATAGCATCATGCTATAAGCAGGAGTGCTACCAAGCCTGGGTTGACGCATCAACGTCCCGGGATGTAAGCACCAGCGCTCTAAAAAAGTTCAAAAGAGTCATTGCTAAGGCAAAGTCAGAGCACATAGGTAGAATTGGCAAGAAACTAGTTCGCCTTCCTTCTAAAACCCGTGCATTCTGGTCTCTTGCCAAGGCTGTCTAGGGGAATTTCTGTCAGCCATCTCTTCCATCTCTGCACAGGGAGGACGATTCACTGGCCCATACCGCAAAGAAGAAAGCCGATCTGCTAGGCTCTTTTTTTGCGTCCAACTCGACCGCCGCCGACCATCCGGCGGCGGTCGAGTTGGACGCAAAGACGGCTTTCGTCCACCCAATCCCTAAAAAAAGGCAACCGCTCAGACCCGTCCAACTATAGGCCCATCGCCATCACCTCCGTGTTCTCCAAAACAATGGAGTGCATTGTAAACTGCCAGCTCATGAGGTACCTTGAGGATTAGCAGCTGATTAGTGATCGCCAATACGGTTTTCGTCGCGGTCGATCAGCTGGTGATCTTCTGGTCTACCTAACTCATAGGTGGGCGGAGGCAGAAGAGTCCAAGGGGGAGGCATTGGCTGTTAGGTTGGACATTGCGAAGGCCTTCGATCGGGTTTGGCACAAAGCGCTTCTTTCGAAGCTCCCTTCCTATGGGCTTCCCAAGAAATTGTGCAATTGGATCACCAGCTTTCTTGCAGATCGGAGCATCAAGGTCGTTGTAGACGGTGCAAGCTCCGATTACAAGCCTATTAATGCTGGTGTTCCACAAGGCTGCGTGCTATCGCCAACGCTGTTTCTTCTGCATATCAATGATATGTTGCAAACCCGTAACATTCATTGCTATGCAGATGACAGCACTGGTGATGCTCTGAACACCGGCCGTGCCAATATTTCTCGGGAAAACGTCTCCGAGTACCGGGACAAATTTGTGTCTGAAGTCGATTCTTTGCTGAACAGATTCTCGGATTGGGGGCGACTAAATCTAGTCCAGTTTAACCTTCAGAAGACACAAGTTTGCGCGTTAAAGAACCCCTTTGTCGTATCTCCTCAGTTTCAAGGCACTCCCCTTGTTGCCTCAGCCAGTATCGAAATCCTCGGCGTCAACATATCGAGTGACGTACAGTTTCGTAGACACTTGGAAGAGAAGGCCAAATTGGCCTCTAAAAAGCTTGGCGTGCTCAGCAGAGCGGGGCAGTATTTCATGCGGGCACACCGCCTGTAACTTTACAAGGCGCAGGTTCGGCCGCACATGGAATACTGTTCCCATCTCTGGGCTGGGGCTCCCCAGTGCCAGCTCCGCCCACTTGACCGCATCCAGCGCAGAGCGGCTCGAATTGTCGACGACCGAGTGCTTTCCGATCGGCTCGATTCACTGGCGCCGCGAAGAGATGTTGCATCTCTTTGCATTATCTTTCGCATATACCATAGGGAGTGCTCTGAGGAATTGTTCGGATTAATCCCAGCCGCCAAATTTCGTGAACGCAGTACGCGGCAAACGTCCCGATACCATCCACACCATCTGGATGCTTGGCAGTCCACCGTTTCAGAAGGAGTTTTCTTCCGCGTATGACCTCTCTGTGGAATAGTTTACCACCGGCGATTTTTCCGGACTGATACGACCTGGGGACCTTCAAGAAAAGAGTGCAATTCCCCTGGTGTTGCGGTTGATCATGGGCGGCGGTAGTCACTTAAGATCAGGTGAGCCTTAGGCTCGTTTGCCCCCCTCTTCTATAAAAAAAATTATACAGAATTACCGTGTTGGTTATTTTTTACATAAAAAAGGCGCTATGAAAGCGCGGTGTTTACGTACGTCAGGGACCTCGCTAGCTTCGATGGAGCGTCTGGTCGATGGTCGGTGTAGTTTTTTGCTTCCTGTTTGGCATTTAATGAACATTGGATTACCTTGATTTGATCTCGAAATCAAAACTTCAGACGATGGTAGTTCGGAGCCACAATTCTTCATTTTAAACGAACGTACGGTATCCGTGTATAGCTTCTTTAACGCAATATGCAAAAATATAAAGTCCACAAGGTCATTAAATTTAATATTTTTGCGAGCGGCTAACGACGTTACAAATTTATCCAAAAATTGTTCTAGACTGTTGATATTTGCGGAAGACAGAGCTTTAAGATCGAATATTTGGTCTAAATATGCAGAAGCCAGCATTCGCTTATCTTCATCATTATTTCTAAGCATTTCGAAAATTAACGAATAGTTGTTTGCTTTTGGCGTGAAACCGGCATATACAGATTGCATCTTGCCACTCAGCTTGCCGATAAATAATATTATTGTTCAGCATCCGATAAGGGGGGGATTATTATGTATAGTATTTTGAAAACTAGTAATGAATAACGACCAAGTTTTAATATCACCATTAAATTTTAGGATATCGGGCTTTAAGTCGCTCTGAGCTGGTGACGCTAAAAGCTTTTAGCTTAAAGCTTGTTGTTTTTATTAGCTTAAAGCTTTTTAAAAATTATTAATACGGGAATAACAAGTGAAACACGAGATAACTATCGAACGTTCAATATATTCATTATACTTCACAAAACAATAACTGTTAACGTCATCAACTAATTATTCTCTAATTTGATCACTATAATATTTACAACATAACTTCACTCCATAACATTTTAAATGAATATACGAAAAATCAAATCATTTTAAAAATACATTAGAAGAACTAAAATAACTTCTCATTTTATCCTCTAAAAGGATTGTTTACAAAATATTTTTTTAACAAAAAAATACATAAGTAGTCTGCGAATGCCAAAATATACATTATATGAAGAAATAAAGTCTTCATTTATAAATAAATTCAATAAAACTACCTTTATTGAATTTATTTCAATTCCGTAATTTTCCAAATACTCTAATTACGTAATAGATGCACGAAAATAAAAGGGAATGTTCAAATAACTAAAAAAATAAGTCTGGCACATAACACTATTATTTTACAAAAAAAAAAACATTCTTGTAATGTGCTTGTAATACAGTTTTTGTTGCATGTTAAGTAAGGTAGTACTTAGCAACATCGCTATTGTTCTTTATTTAAGCATGTCAAGAGCTTCGATAAAAAAGAATGCACATAACTGAAAACAATGAAAACGAGAAGGGTGATAACTTGTCATTTATCATCCTCATTACTACATTAACAAAATATTTTTGAATATATAATTTTTTTATAATAATTTTGCACGGGAATCTCTTATTATGTATTGTGTCTGTTACGAAAAAAATATTTATTTAGAAAAATATTAGCAGCACTTTAGATGGCTTTCAACAAATTAAGTCAAAAAGAAAAAAATAATTTTGAAATTATTTTTAAATTATTACTTTACTGTATATTTTAAGATAAAAGTAAACTAACTTCAAACATAAAAGAATCACGAGGAATTTAAAATATTTCAAAAATTGAACTCCGTAATATCTTCTTTTGGAGTCGGTGAAGATATTACAATTATTAAAAAGATATTGAGATTTTGAGAATTAACTTCTTCTATAACATATATGTATACAAGGCATTTTGTGAATAGGAACAAATTTTTGATATTAAGTTTATTTGCTACACTCACAATAAGTATTTCAGGTTTTAAAATAAAATTAATACAAATCTTTATGTAATCAATACGGCATTAATAAATTAATACAGAAAACTGGTTCATTTCAAATAGTAGTTTTATTATTTAAATAAATAAATAATATTATGTAATTTGTGGTAGAAGCTTATAATATTTAGGCTGTGGAATCTTCCAGTATAATTTTCATGGAGATTGCACACACTTAGTGAAATTCCAATTTAAATGATACTAGTCGGTCTACAAACATTATGTTATGAGGCCCTTCACGACTTCAAACAATCACCGTTAAATATGCTGTTTATTTCATGATGGACCTTGGAAACTTAAACCACAATTATGAGAACTAAAGCTAATTTAGAGTTTACGTATTGCCTTTATCACATTGGAACGAGACAATAACAGAGGTTTTCAAAAAAAAAAAATACAAATCAACTCTTTTATAATTATCGCATTAGGTTTTTGATCGCAAACTTCATACAAAATAATTTGAGACTAATTTTAGTATCAAAGGTTTAAGTTTTTGTCTATAAAAATTTAATGTGTGTTTTCTGTGATGTTATTTCTGCAAGCCAGTTAGCTTTAACAGCTTCAACAGACTCAGTCCATAGGACAGTTATTGCCTACAGCAGTTTGCGAAAATTTAGAGTCAACACTGTACAAAAGAGGTTGACGTGTGCAACTATCACTCCTGAAAGCTAAAACAATTAATTTCCCCATAGCCTTATATAAAAGGCTAAAAGGTAATAAAATATTGTAAAAAGCTTAAGATATGTTTGAATTTTTAATGAGGTTGCTTACTAACAACATTGTCAAATAACAATATATGCAATGTCTGTTGGTTGGTACTATAAAATGACTCAGCACTCGAATATTCTATAAACTATAATAATATATATGGGGACTTTAGCAAATCTAGTTCTTTTTAATTCAAATGTGTGATTGCATAGAATTTTTTTTTCTTAATTAACATTAAAAATATTCTGAGGTTCACTCATGAACTGATTTATTTAAGTTATCTTTAGCAATAAGCTTATAGTACCAACCAAAGGTAACAGCTATAAGAATTTTGTCTTACAAGTTTAAGTCTTTCTGTCAAGAGCTGTTTTATCTGTCAAAATATCAGAGAGCTCAGTGCCTGTCAAATGAACAGACAGATGTCAAAGATCATAGACACTAAAAGCGCATGGGGACCCAACATCCAGTTTGTTCATCTCGACGATAGTAATGCGGCCGGTTATCCGGAAAAACAGTCACGGCGGGGAATGGATGTTGTTGGATGAACTTTAGCGTTGTCCGAATCTGGAATGTAATTTATAACGGTAAATATATTTTTCTGTCATTAAGTTAAGAATTCAAACTCTACAGACTAGTACTACCAGTGCATTGGCTAACTCTGCGCTTAGCAACCTGCTTGTTTAATGTAGGGAGTAGACATGTGTCATTCATTCATTCATTCCTAGAGTTACCCGATCCAGATAAGACGATTCAAGTATTGAATCGTCTTATATGGATCCGGTCGGTTACACGAATCAGGTCATTCGGTTCCATCATTCAAATGGATCATTTCGAGTTTCAGTACTCTGTGATCTGTTACCCTACCCGAAATCGGACATTACTATACTTTTTGATCGTAGGTCCTGTCAATCGTTTGATCCGGAACATTAAAAAATGTTATTGCAATTATCAATAGTTGGAAGCGACCTGGGTCGATGAACGAATCATATGACAGACATAATATCTAGTAGGAGTAGGATAAAGTCTACTAGGGAGACATACTGACAAATCTTTAATTTTATCTATGACTGTTGTCACATTGTTGAATGAAGAACTAAATCAAAAGACCTAAAGTTCATCGACACGATCCCGACTACATCAGATGCGAAAGATGATCTCAGGTATGCAGAGAGGCAAAGAATCACGGAATGCAGGTGACTGAGGATCATGCCCCTTGGCATGACCAATAGTTAACCTTGCCTGTAACATGCACGCATTCTGCTACTTAACAAACGTATTTCTGGCGACCAAAAATGGCGGTGTGTCGCTACTCACGTGGTGCACAAAGTGCGGCGGCTCCACGCTCGGCGTGGTGCTGAGGTGCTGCAGTATGAACTCGTCGGACTGCTCCAGCCACAAGTCCACGCCACGCAGCGGGTCGTAGTTGAACGGCCCGATACGGAGCATGCCCACTGCGTTGTCGTAAATATCCAACACCTGCAATTATCATCAATACCGATACGATAGTCAATTACCCGTTTCTTTGTTCATATTTACAACGGTTTATTGGAAATCGATTTTACGAGTACATAATAAGGCTCAATTTTCTTCATCAAACTCTAAGTGTGGGGAAGTGTGTAAGGATAACCATCTTATGTACACAAAAATTTAAAGAAGTATTCACGTGAAAAAGAAGGCGACTAGGTTCCTCATCTAATGTATCCTGCATTACTACTAGGCAGGTATTATAACAACAGCTTATCACATTATACCCAACTAGTAATACCACAGAATAAATAATAGGTCTAGAACGTAATACACAAAATTTATACGAGAAGTAAGGCAAATTTCTTCACGCATAAAGCTAATTTTTTTTTTCGCGCGCCCAATCGGTTTTTTACTGGGAGTTTGACCACATGAGTGAGATGGTTTGACTCGGCTTTAATTTTGCTTGTACATACTTACTGGTAAGCACCAATGAAATATTTACAATTATTCTCTCAAGATTTTATATTCATATTTAATATTTAACGTCCACACATATGTTATGAAGCATATGTTAGTTTTTAAATCTTTTATGTTTCTCATAAAGTGAGTGTTTATTCCATTGAGTTATACGTACGCGGGGCGCGCCGTGGACTGACTTAGGTATTTGCTGCAGCGCTAAAACTAGTTATATCGTCTAACCAAACTATTAAAAAATTCGGCGTTAGATCGCTTATATAATACAGTTTTAGAGCGACCAAATCGTCATAAGCGCCAGGAATTTTATGACGCTTTAAGCCGCTTCACATTTCGTTTCAGACAATGACACTACACCCACACTAAATGGGACAAACATTACTAGGATTACGAATGGGGTGCGTCGCACCCGCAGACGGGCACGACGCGTTCCAGCTCACACCGCGCACACACCGTACATCCACGTTCCTGGGCGGTTCTCACCGCCCAGGCCATCGACCAACACGAGCTGAGCAGTCAGAGACGGGGGTCTGCACTCCCCCCCTCGGACTGCGGTTAGATAGCTCAAAAAACGCCTAAAAAGACGACATGATGATTGGTAACAATACCAAATCATAAACCATTCATCATCATCCTCACCTCATTGCCTTTCCCTTTTTAATTAGCTCAGATGAAGCTGTAAGAGTCGCATATACTAACAGCGCTAACATCCAGAAACTAGACTCACATTTCGTTGAGTACAGTAGCGAGTTAACTTGCAAACATGGCGAATTATGTAAAAAATCTCGTTTGAACGGCAATTAGCGAGTTAAGTATCAAATTAACGATTAAGTTGAACGGAATAGCTGGCCGGTATATTTTTCGTAACGGTGGTTAATATAACGCATAGCGCCATATTATAGCGCGCTATCTCTCCATAACACATAGCGCGTGCTATGTAATTAGTCGCCATGACGCTATTGCGCTATGGCACTTTGGCGCTATTAAGTATTAATATTTAATATGTAGCGGCAACTAGTTCTAGCAGCAGCGCTGTTGGGAGAGGACGTGTGACGCAAATATGATCTAGTAGCACGCTATTCATCGCGGGCGACCTAATTTAGTGTTAGATGTTGTTTAATTAGTGTATACTGTATAAGAAAATAAGTGATCGAAGGACATAGTTGTCTGCTATAAAAGAAGCCTAACTAATGTTTTTAAATGTAAATAAAATATGGATACAAAGCTGTATGTAGATAGTTGATTTTTATTAATACAAACAATAAACTTTTAAATACACCTATAATTGATTTATAATTTATATTAAAGTTAAAATAACGTTTACATCAATTATAATAAAAAATAATTAATTTTATTTCGTTTTAAAAAGTGCATGCTTTAAAAATATTTTTAGGATTATAGAAAGTCGTAAGCCTGAAAAGTATGAAAAAGCGTTCATTGATTTTTCTTTACCGCTTTATTTTATTTTAGTCTAAAATGCGACTTATTACGCAATAATGTTCTTATATAGCACGCGGTCTATGCAATGAACGAAATGTAATGTAACGTGCTACGAGATATAGCGTGCTGCAAACTTAACGAGCTTGCCAGCCTCCTACACGCTTTCTTATAAATAGCGCGCTATAACATAGCGTATTTAATAGCGCGCTAGATTTTTTTTACAGTTTATAGTTAACAAATTTATAGTCTGTAGCGTGCTATTGATTTATAGTCGTTTTGAACAACTTTAATTTTTCGGCGAGTTAAGTGTGAAGTGCCTTTCCACGCATCTCCTGCGACCCGCAACTAAATTTGCTGCTCGTGTGAACTAGCGAGTTTAGTTCATTCAGTGCATAAGTTGACAGGACGCAACGTGGTTGCGTTCGGACCTTAAATATAAAATTGTACTTTTTTTAACTAAACTCGCTACGAAGACATTTGACCTGTACTGTCCACTTTACTGTAAACTGCCCAGTAACTACTCTCGACTGTTGTATTTGTCGAAGTGTAAGTCGACTATTACGTATTTCGTTCAATAGCGATTATACACCGCAGGAGTGACACAGCTTTTGTACGTTTAATATTTATTAATAGTTGAATAATTAAACTGACTGACCGCCGCGACAGAAACTCGGTTTGGAGTACATTGCCATCCTGCAACTGTATTATAGTTATAGCACGAACGCTCGATCAGGGAAGGACCATGCTCTCACAGAATACCATTACCAATTTAATGCTGCTGTGTTTCGTATGGTGGATGTAGAAAACCAGAAGACCATTGTACTGGAAAAGAGGCATTCCATCTTAATCCTAAAAGGAGTGATTACGCATCCGAGAGCCGTGGTAGCTCAGATGGTTAGCGCTCGCTGTAAATTTCACAGTACGCGAGCAAACCGGGTTCGATTCCCGCTGGCACCAATGAAATTGTTAATTGCAATTTTAAGTGCTAATTTACCACGTGCTCGGCGGTGAAGGAAAACATCGTGAGGAAACCTGCATGTCTGAGAAATAAGAAAAAAAAATTTCGAAGACTTCTGAAGTCCGCCAACACGCATTGGGGCAGCGCGGTGGACACTTCCTTGCCCTAATACCCTCTCAGAAATGAGAGGAGGCCTGTGCCCAGCAGTGGGACGTATATAGGCTGTAACTTTACTTTACTTTACGCATCCGCATTTTGGTTCTTAATCAAGGATAATTTTTTTGTCTATGGGCTACATCATACACACATGTTTAACAACATTTTTCAAAAACATATTGGCTAACTTTCTTTTCGAGAGGATAATGGTATATAATAAATGATCGAAGAGAGCCCTATAGCATGGATAGTTAGTATTTGTCGAAGTGTAAGTCGACTATTACATATTTCGTTCAATAGCGATTATACACCGCAGGAGTGTGCAGCTTTTGTACGTTTAATATTTATTAATAGTTGAATAATTAAACAAATAAAGTAGGAAAGTAAAAGAAAATAGATAGGTGCGTTTATTTAAGCTCTATAGAAAGATGCTACTATTCACACTGATCCGTGTTCTCTTATTATTAGCCGTTCTGTATGGCACGTACAGACGTACACTGCATTAATGTTGAAATCATACTAAAGTAAGGTGTATGGATTGCAGTACAGTTCATTTGAATAGAATGAGTGTTCGGATCGGTAAATGTAGTGTGTAATGCATATTACATGTCGATGGTATACTGTTTGGGAAATAAAAACTAGATTAGACTGCCTCGTTGGTCTAGTCGTTGTAAATACGACGACTGAGGTCTTGAGTTCGAATCTCCCAGGTCGGGCAAAAAAAAATCAGTTATTGAGTTTTCCTGTCAAGAATTTCTTATTAGTTGCCCGGGGTCAGAATGTTGACGGTGTCAGGAGGTTGGCGTTGGTCCTGCGTCTGATCTCTCTCCGGTCGTGTCGGTTAAGAGACTGCACCTGTACTTGCGCATACGCTTGGGCACTATAACCCTGTCCTGTATCAATGGCTAATCTCCGTTGTGGCTGACCGCCGTGACGGAAAATCGGTCTGGAGGACATTATTATTACTATTAGTGAAACAAATGAGTCGAAGCAGGGACCTGCGCGGAGTGCGGGCCGCCGGTGATGGTGCGCGCGGCGCGCAGCGGCTGCTCGGGCCCCTTGTCGGGGAAGGCGGCGGGGAACAGGTCGCCGGCGCGCACGTCCACGCCCACGCCCGTCACCAGCGGCGCCGCGCCCCCACCGCCGCCCGCACCCGCGCCCAGCGCCGTGTTCAGCTCGCAGCAGCACGCAAGTGTCAGGTCGATCTCCTCCGACAGCCGGTGGAACGACACTGCGGACGAACGTTTCATAAAACTAGATATAAGGTGGGTGGACCATGGCAGTACTGTCCGTCGCTTCATTGATTTCGGGAATCGACGATGTTAAAGTAAAGTGGATGTACCATGGAAGGCCACTCTAACATATAAACAGTCATTTTTCGTTTATTTACTGGATAAATGAAACTAACAAATATTTAAGTAATACTTTGTTTTATTACGTAACATATAAGCCACTTCTTTTTATTGTAGATTTAATCGCTATCTATTAAACTTAAGTGTGAAATGACTGATTTATTATAATGGCCTTCTAAAGAGGCTTGTTCCTAGCAAGGCCATTCGGGAGAGTTCAATGAAATTTGAGTTCAATCAATACTGATTAAATCTGCAATTTAAATAAGTGGTTTATATGTTACGCAATAAAACAAAGTATTACTTAAATATTAGTTAGTTTCATTTATCCAGTAAATAAACGAAAAATAACTGTTTATTTGTTAGAGTTGCCTTCCATGGTACACCCACGTTATTGATGTAGCCGTAATATAGTTGTAGCGCGAATGTTTACTGTGTAGTGGCGATGCAATAATACTCAATACATATCATCCGTTAGATTTCGTAAGAGGCGACAGAGGGAAACGAAATCAGGAGATAGAAAGCAGCGTCTTCCTAATAACGACTAAGACTAAAAAATCTGCGGCTGCCACCCGCTAGTCGAGCGTGGCAACTATGGCAAATATCCACCTATGAGACAATCTATGGGGGAGGCCTATGCTCAGCAGTGGACTTTTAGTAAGCTGTAACAGTAACGGTAAAAAATGAGTCAGCTCGACCGGAGGACCAAGCTGTCAAAGAATACCAGCGTAGAAACGGAGCTTAACACTAGTGTGTTTCGTATGGTGAGTGTAGAGAACCGGAGACCTTTTTCCTGGTTATGATCGTATCGGTTACCGTGCCATCGGACTATGAGAGTGAGGGAATAGAGAGTGCACCTGTGCTTGCACATACATAAATTGACCGCCGTGACCGAAATTCGGTTTGGAGAACATTACACTGCCATGCTGCAACTGTATTATAGTTATAGCACGGACGGGTTTGCTCGATCAGGGAAGGACCACGCTCTCACAGAATACTATTAAGTAGGTACCAATTTAATGCTGCTGTGTTTCGTATGATGTAGAAAACTAGAAGCCCATTTTACTGGAAAAGAGGCATTCCATCTTAATCCTAAAAGGAGTGATTACGCATCTGCATTTTGGTTCTTAATCAAGGATACATATCTATGTCTATGGGCCACATCATACACTCACCATCAGATCAACTATGTGCTCGTTTAACAACCTTATTCAATAACATACCGGCTAACTTTCTTTTCGGGAGGATAATGGTAGGGCTCTACTTCGATCATATATTAATATATGATCGAAGTAGAGCCCTACAGACACGCACATTTTAACACAGAAGACACAGGTTACAATCAAGAGTACAAATTGAATAACATTTTTATAAACAGTGTTAAAATAACCACAATAACGCGAATAGAAACTATAGTTCCTCAAACGTATGCGCTATCACAGGAACCCTTACTCATCCGCGTCTACCTGTCCTTGATAGGCTTAGCAGTAGGTTAAGTAATAGTGTTAGAGACGATAAGTAATTCAGAGCCTAGAATTTTTCTTGCACAAATGTTAAATGTTGGGGATCGGACGCAGCAAGGAATCTGTTATTATCAAACCCGCGAATTAGCAGTCTGGTACCTGACTAATATTGCAAGCAATCCTTAGAATTAGCAAAATAAGTTTATTTATTTATTTATTTATTGGGTCTACCAGCGATTTTACAATACATACGTTACATACATTTCTTAAAGTATAATTACTATATTACTTGCACAGAGTATGTAAAATCATTTAAAGGTAAACACTACATGCTATTTTTGCTAGTATTAGTGTATAAATCATTTAAAGGTAAACACTACATGCTATTTTTGCTAGTATTAGTGTATAAATCATTTAAAGGTAAACACTACATGCTATTTTTGCTAGTATTAGTGTATAAATCATTTAAAGGTAAACACTACATGCTATTTTTGCTAGTATTAGTGTATAAATCTGAAATAAGTTAATAAAAGAAAAAGGAAACAAAATCAGAAACAGACTAAAAACACAATAGTAATTTTGGTAAAAGCCTGTAAAACCTTATCAATTTAAACAACAAAAGAGATTTAATCAAACTAATAATTTGTCTTTCAATTAAAATTAACTTTACAACTTAAACTTAATTTAACAACTATCATAATCTAGCCCAACTAAATATATATTATTAGAATTTAAAAGAGAAGATATACGTAATAATTAATATGACAAAAAAAATCACACTCAGGATGACTGGCTGACTAGGCTATTGATAATTAATTTACGAAAGGTGTTAGGCGAATTAATGTTGATGTCAATTAACTGACTGAAATATTATTATATAATTTACATAAACGAGGGATTGTGGAGTTGGCGCCGAAGACCGTCCTGGTGCGTGAGGCATGACTGGAGTAATAGCAGTACGCGGATATCTGCGTGGTACTCGAAAATTAATTTTACTTAGTAAACTGGGGCAGTCTAACTTATTACTTAGTAATTTGTATAAAAACATTAAATCTAACAAATCTCTTCTTTGGTCAAGAGTCATGATATTAAAGTATTTTAGCCTTTTTTTATAGGACACCACCGTTTTGTCAATCTTCGCTGAGTATGATAGATGACACATGAATCTTTTCTGAACACGCTCCAATCTTAAGTAGTGTGTAGAATAATGTGGACGCCATACAACGCTACAGTACTCTAAGTGACTGAGGACAAGGCTGTTATAAAGATAGACTTTTGTTTTAGCTTCTTTAAAAGTTCGACCTTGTCGCATAATAAAACCTAATAATTTAGAAGCTTTGTTTATTACACTTTCTATGTGGTATAGATAAGTCAATTTTTTATCAAGTATAACACCCAAGTCTTTCACGAGCTCAACTTCCTTAAGACTATTACCGTACAATTTGTATGTCGTTGGAGTAATATTATTTTTTCTAGTAAATTTAATATGAAGACATTTACTGCAGTTGAGTTTCATGCCATTAGATTTACACCAATTGCTTAGTTTATCTAGATCGTTCTGTAATAAAATTGAATCAATTGGTGAACAAATTGTTCTCGTTATTTTCAAATCATCGGCATATAAGTATGGTGTGGAGTTTTCAAAACAAGAAACAATGTAGTTTACAAATATATTAAACAAAATTGGGCCAAGATGCGAGCCCTGAGGTATACCTGACGTTACCAGATTGGTTGAAGAGCTAAACCCATTAACGACTACATAAAAAACGGCCGTGTAAGTATGATGAAAGCCATTTTAGCACCGGGCCTGAAAACCCATAATACGATAATTTTTCAATAAGTATTCCGTGCGGAACTATGTCAAATGCCTTTTTAAAATCCGTATATATGGTATCCACCTGCTTTTGCGAGTCAATGGCTTCTGATAATGAGGAAGTGAAACTAACTAAATTAGTGGTGGTAGACCTACCTGGCAAAAATCCATGTTGATGCTCAGAAACGAAACGTTTGAAATGCATTTGAATTATTGGACAAACTAATGATTCGAACACTTTTGCGAAAACCGAGAGAATTGATATGGGCCTATAGTTACGTATATCTTTCTAATCAGTTGAACAAACTGTCCCAACTATTTCAACAAGTCGTTAATGTGACTGTCATCGTTCATCATTACAGCCCTTCATAAGTCCACTGCTGAATATACGGTCCTGAGTCACCTGCACCAATCGACTTTCTGCATGTCTTACTAGGTCATCACTCCATCTAGTGGGGGGGGGTTCGCCCTACACTACGCCTACCGATACGAAGATGCTACTCGAGAACCTTTTTTCGTGTACGTGACTGTACATTTGTACAATTTAAAATAATGGTTGACAAAAATTTTATGGCAACAACTTATTTATAGCATTTAATATAAAAGAGCATAAAAATATAACGTTCAAAAAATGACATTAATCTGAAACTTTAGTGATAAGACATGTAAATATTGAAAATTTTTCATGTATATCAAAATATAATATCAAATTAGTAAAAGCATTAAGAACGCCAAAAAAGGCGACGTTACCTACATAATTTCTGTTGGACACCCCTAAAGCTAAAACTATAACAGCGCCTACGCTGTGTCCAATTAATAATTCGCATTGGAACCCAACAGCCGACCTCGACGTCTTAATGATCTCATGTGTCACCCACTTATAGCATTAGCAGTGAAAATGATTCGCGTATTTTTGGAAAGAAAAGTCAGCTTTCCGCCTTAATTTCTTAAATGATGCTAGTTTTAAAAATTAGAATAAAAAAAAACTAGTTCGACGGACAGCTCCAGTGTGAAGTTGCGACGTTCAGCTATCAGTTAACTTTAAAACGTAATCGGTTTCTTCGTGATAGTACTACATTGTAACTAGATACCAGCAGAAAATAATTAATGTTATGGCGCTACATTTAGCATTATTATTTAATTCATGTATAGACCAAAGGTGTATTTCTCGGCATAATGAATCGTAGTGAAGATATTACTTCTCTCGTTAAATCTAGCGACAGAAAACCCTGACAATTACATAAATTATAAAGTATATGTCTATATGCTTAAAGTATTTAGAGTTCAATCTATCATTTCACCAGCATCAATTTTAATTTTCTTAAGGTCGCTCCAAAACTGATGCAAGGGTGTGTTTGATTCAGAACATTATCAATGTATTTATTGTGATTTAATTAAAGCAATTTAAAGCCTAAATTACAATTCCCTACTTAATAAATAATAATATTATGGCCATAAACAATTAGGTTTTGCGCTTGTTCAATTTTTACCTTAGCAACAGAATTTAGAACTGCTAAATACTTTAGTTTTTAGGTTACTTTAGTTAGTTTCACGGCATAATACGTGGCACGGTTTTATCCGTGGTAGAGCCACGTTGCAGCTATATTAAGGCGGCTCCACATTATTGCCGTGAAGCTCCGTAAACAGGCGTGAACGTGAATGTAGACGGTTTTCGCGGTGTTCACGCGCATTCACGCCTCTTCCCCGATCCGAGTCGGTATTTTGTCCTGCGACAAAGGGTTTGCGCACGCTTCGCGCGGTGTTCACGCGTACACATCTACATTCACGGCCCCGTGCCAGTTCGCTCCGGACTACAAAGGCGTACGGACGATGTATTTCAGTCATCCACCATCTTCTTTTTCCAACGCTTTCTAATAAATTTCGTGTTTTGGACGTCTAAATAGTGATATGTTGCCACAGTAAACAAAGTTATTGCAGCTGCAGCTTCTACGTACATTTCACGGAGGATTTCACGAACGATTGTGAGCATCGCGTGAGTGTGGAGGGCACGACTTGTGCGTGAATGCATGGCGTGAATTCGGCGTGAATCCACGGCGCTAATGTGAAGCCGCCATTATGGTTGTAGCACGAATGGGTCGGCTTGATCGGGGAAGGACCACGCTCTCACAGATCACCAGTGTAAAATAGCAGCTTAACACTGCTATATTTCGTATATTGAGTGTAGAGCCCTTTTTTACTGGAAACGAGGCATTCCATCTTAATCCAGGGGTGACAACTCATCTGTGTTTTGATTCTTAATCGAGGATAAATGTAAATGTTTAAGTGCCACAGCATCCACTTACCATCAGGTGGACGGTGTGCTAAAACAAAAAAATAATATCTTACGGTATTTATTGTAAGAACATGCAGATGACGTGAATCTGTTTTATTTTTAAAAAGGAATAAAACGTGCAATTTATAATTTGTGTTATCGTAGTTCGTGAAGGGATTTATTAAAATAAATTAATATTCCAAATTTTACAAGTACGAAAAAATGAATAAAAGTAAATTAAAGTTACAGAGTATATAAGTCCCACAGCTAGGCACAGGCCTCCTATCACCTCTGAGAGGGTTTTAGGACAAGGAAGTGTCCACCGCGCTGCCCTAAAGCGTGTCTTTACATGTCTTTGAAATTTTTTTTATTTCTCAGACATGCAGGTTTTCTCACGATGTTTTCCTTCACGCGGGAAACACGTGTCGTATTATCGTCGATGGTGTGTCTTACCTGGAATAGTGGTACCGGGAATAGTGGTGTTGGGAGTAGTGGTGCTGGGACTAGTGGCGACGGAGTTAGTGCATGCAATTGAGGGAGGGAGGGAGGTGCTCTTCAATCCAGGTAAGACACATCATTGTATTTAGTTAGCGGAAGGTTGCAAAGTAATTAATATTTTTATTATATTGGATTTCCGCAAAATAACGCCTGATTCTATCAATTATATTGTATGATGGGTCACCCACCTCTCTTTAGTGTGGTCGAGGAGGACGATTGCTTACAGATGCTGCTTGTAGGGAATTAGTCTACTTGGGTTCGTTATATTGATAAGCTCCCAATTTATAATCATCTTTGTTCAGAGTACAACAATCGATATCTGAAGCAAGTTATAGATGAATCTGTAATCGTTTTCTATTATATAATATATGTAATTCTTATAATTTTCTTTAATTTTGATTTGCTTCTATACTCTGTGCCCAACACTGCTACGGTTGTTTGATTTTAATAATAATTAACGTTTTTGGACTGATTTTTAACATTATAACAAACATCATAATTTGATTGGTACGCTTTATACTTCTATATTCTTAATTTTGTTCTTTAGTGTTAGCAGTAGGTAATTAGTATAAAATATCATGGGACTGGTATGTCATTTCGCCAAAAATCCCAGAAAAAAACAACACACGGTAAAAGTGAAACCTTGAGAAAACTTAACTTCGAGAGAATGAGAGGAATGCAGAGTATAAGGAGTAGGATAATTGTAGGCTTTATTTATTTAAAAATTATTTTACATATTATTCTACTTTACTTACATTACATTTTATTTTTTTATTTCGTCGAAAGTACTTAAATATTTTCTAATCAACGAATTTCTTCCTTAATCCTCACTGCATCTCTCCAAACATAATAGGAAACCCCGTATACTGTATTCCGTCTCATTCTCTCGCTGACGAAATCCTATAAATGTATAAATTTGTCTCTTTTTTGTTTAATCGAGTTTCAAATGATAACGATTGTAAAGAGGTTTTCAGTTTAAAAACAAAAGCAAACACAATATGAGGAATGGGTGGTGAGCTGGTGAGTGGTGACTCACGCATGATGTTTGCGAAGAGCTCGTCGGAGTAGCGGTGTGGGTCGGTGAAGCCGCCGACGAGCTGCAGCTCCAGGCGGCCCTCGGGGTAGCCGGCGGCCAGCTGCAGCGCGCGCGCCACCATGGCCGCCGCCGCTTCGCCCGTGCCCGACCCGTCCAGGTGCGCCAGTGACACCGCACCCGACCCTGATGAAAGTTTTGTTTATTCACAACAACCACACCTTATTTACACACAAACTACTTTACTTAAATCATTAAGTATGAAAAATCAATTATAGTTAGCCAATTATATATAAAATGACTAGCGATCCGCCCAGGTTGCGCACGAGTGGTTACTAGATTTCGACAACAGCGCCACCTACGAGGTCCAAATATGATTCTAATTCCATCTGGGAATCCATTCAAACAAATGTTTTTTAATCAAAATCGATTGAGCCGTTTCTGAATTTTTGCGAGACTAACGGAACGCAGTTGATTTTTATATATAGAGATATACAATAAAACAGAATACTATAAACCTAATAATTTAAACCTGTAATCAGTAATACCACAGTTTAAAGACCTTATAGGCGATGCCGCCGCCTGCGTAGGTATTTACGCGGATAGCGTGTATGCTAGGGGCTGTCACAAAAATGGAAATAAAATAATTTTGAAAATTATAATACTGTATATCGTACATACTTATTTATAGAATACTATAATACACACAATAGAACGGGGGAGTGGGCGGAGCCTGCGTAGCCACTAAAATGTCACTAACTTGTCACTAACATGTCAATTCACACGTATAAATGTCAACACGAGATGTGTTTTGACGTTACAATCGTTTCCAAATTTAGCATGCAAATTATGCCATAATTGTGGCAAATTGCACCCTATTTACAAATAAATATGTATTAAAATTCAAACGATTTTTTTAAGGATGATCTTGAACATTAATCAAAAGTCTAAAATGTGTAAATTTACTCAGTCTGTCAAAACAGTGAATCGGGTTTAGCGACGCCAATCCTCGTACAAAATAAAGTCGACAGCCATTCTATTGTGTATTATAGTATTCTATGTACTTATTTATTAAAACATTTATTGAACCACATCACTATATATTCATTATTAGAAGAAAAAACACATTCACAAGTTTTGCACCGACAAATATTTTTGTGATCTTTACTTTTAATTGATGTTTTCAAAGTTCCATTGTTAAATTTAATTATGTAGTGTATTCCCATTCGAAGAAAAAATTTTATCAAAATAATAATAATAAGGGAAACGTAAGCTTGGCCATCATTTGAATTCCATTTTACTTAGTAACTTTTATAGAATCGAATCGAAGCGTTCCATCTTAGACCTCAAGGGTGACAACGCATTTGCATTTTGATTCTTAAGCGAGATTAAATGAAGATGTCTATGTACCACAGCATCCACTTACCATCAGGTGGACTGTGTCCTCGTTTGTCACCCTTATCCTATATTAAAAAATATTTATGATGAAACAAATTCATACAAGAAAACGTGCGCGAATAGCATTAACTGTTTCAACTAAATCTAAATAAGTCAGATACATATTGAACAATTTCTCACCTGAATGTCTGACAACAACTATAATACATGATGTGGCGTCGTCTGATCCTATGATGCTGATGTTTTCTGAAAAATTAAGAGAAATTAGGTTAGCAGCAAACAGTGTTTATGTATGCATAGAAAAATTGGGTGTAAATATGAAAATTAATACGGTACAGACTCACAGAGCCAGTGAGTTCCAAACTATTTAGATGTAAGCTAACATGTAATTTTAAACTCCTTTTAACATACCATTTCTCCCTACTCTTATAACATGTCACTATTTACTGTTGAAGTATTCAATACTAACTCTAGGAAGTTACTCGTTGATAAGACAGCTTTTAGTATCATCATCATCATCACCATTACAGACTATGGTGGTCCACTGTCCAACATACCATCGCCATAGATTGTCCCCCAGATTTCGCTTAGTTTTTCCACGGGTCTTTCTCAAGATGGTTGTTCGAAACATTTTAAAATATTTTACTTTAATCGTTTTAGACAACATTGCATTCACAAACTCATCACTGCCGTATGCTTTAAAATTATTGAATATTATTTCCGAAGAAACAGACATTTACCACTGCAGCTTGGCCAGGTTCACAGAAGCTGCGCGCGCACAGGGTCTGTGAGATTTAATTTCAATAATTATTATAGTACTTAATTATAATAGTGTATACTTTTATGTCACTAGTTATTGTTCATTTTTAATGTTAACATATGTTCGGAGATATCTTGATAAATTGTGGACAGATTTTAGTGAATATTTTTTTATTGAATAGCTGCTGGTAAGTTCTATATTCTGAGAATTTTTTTTATGAGGAAAGTAGGAGATGATTAATTATCAGTTTTTGTTTGTTATTTGTACAGCATTGGCTTGGTCCTGTACTGTTGTGGTGCTGTTACTTTATTTTTATAACAAATAAAATAAATAAATGTTATCCATCTGACTTACTAAAACTTATATAGGTCAATTGCAAAAAATATATTTTGAGGAAATAGTATTCAATCTACCAATTATCAAAATATTATAAAATATAATATAATTTATGGAGAGACATGACGTAAACAGAGAGTGATTACAAAAGTGCACTTGGAGCTACCTGTTTTAGACTCTTTGACGTGAGCATGACAGTGACAAGGTCTCACTTCGCAAAGTAGTAAAATAGGAAAAATAAGGCACCTCATACTTAATTATGACTAAAGTTAAAAGCCGCAGTAATAAAATTTCAAGAAAAATACATTTTTTTAAATAGAAGAGGGTGCGAGCATACGGTTCACTAGATATGAAGTGCTCTTTTATTAAAGGTCCCCAGGTCGTATCGGTCCGGAAAAATCGCCGGTGGTAAACTATTCCACAGAGAGGTCATACGCGGAAGAAAACTGATAGTGAAACGTACAGTGGTGGACCGCCAAGCATCCAGATGGTGTGGATGGTATCGGGAGGTTTGCCGCGTAGTGCGTCCATGAAATTTGGCGGCTATGATTAATCCGAACAATTCCCGTGGTATATGCGATTTTTTTATTTCCTCCATTTTAAACTCTATCACATTGAATACAACATTTAATTTTCAGTTCACACGCCATGCTTGCCGCGCTGGCGCTGTAAGAATATCTACTGCCCTATATTATGCCGCAGGTGTCGTAAGAAGCGACACAATGAATTAAAACAGGAACCGAGCAGCAGTGCTTTTCTAATAACGACTAAAAATAAAAAATGGCTGCGATTGCCAATCCGATTGCCAAGCATGGCAACTACGGCAAATAGAAGAAGAAGAATTTCATTTATTTAAGCAACCAAGGCTCATATTTTGTTATTATTACAGAAATTATAAACAATGCAAACGCACAAACGAGACAGCAAGAACCAACAAAGGAGACATGCAAACTAAACTTGTAACTATGTTAGTAAGCATAATATTATTATTGTATATAATTATGTGAAGTACAAAAAAAATGTGCCCCTGTGAGGCGATCTATGTGGGAGGCATATGTTCAATAATGAACTTTTAATAGGCTGTAACTGCAATGGTGTGAGCGTGTGAATATTTTGCTATGACGGAAAATAGTATTAACATCGGATACTCACTGTCGTGTGGCACGGCGGCGGCCAGCTCACGCTGTGCGACGTACAGCAGGCCCTGGGGTCCGACGACCCGCGGGGCGGCGGCCAGGAGCTGTGCGGCCGCGTCCCTGTAGCCGGGGTGTGCGGCGAGCAGCGCGCGCACCGACGTGGGGCACTCGTCAGCGAGCACGCCGTTCAGCACCACTACCATGCTAGCTCTGCCGACAATACAACATAACGTAACTACACAAGCTTTTTTTATATAGGATAAGGGTGACAAACGAGCACACAGTCCACCTGATGGTAAGTGGGTGCTGTGGCCCATAAACATCTTCATTTAACCTCGATAATGAATCAAAATCAAAATGCGTTGTCACCTTTGAGGACTAAGATGTAATAGTTCGATGAAAGTTCTCTACACTCACCATACGAAACACAGCAGTATTAAGCTGCTATTTTACGCTGGTATTCTGTGAGAGCGTGGTCCTTCCCCGGTCGAGCCGACCCATTCCTGATACAACAACGTATAAAAAAATGAATTTTCAAAAATCCTTTCTGAGTTTGGGTGCCTACGTCGAGAAAGAACCATATTTGCAAAATTTCTAGTATTTCGGGGAGTATAGCTTTGGAGTTTTAGTGATGAGTCAATGATAATTGGCTTATTATACGAGTATATTTAAAAAGATTAAAGGAGTTTTGGCGGGAACTTTACCGGCGGCGCATTGCTGCTCCTATCTGAAATGGAATGTGATACGTAAAAGTGCTGTGATTTTATTTATTCAATGTCTACCCATATGAACTATCCATCAAAACAATGAAACAAGTGCTCCGATGGTGATATGAAACTCAAGATATTGTGTCTGCTTAGATGACTTACTATACTATCGCCATCCTGTCTGTTAGCTCAAGCTGCTCTCCATATCTCCGAAAACTTCGCAATGTGAAACATCAACATATTGTAAAGAAATGTACTTTAAAGAATAATTTCTTATTACTTGATACTGGCAGAAGTAAATAGATGCGAAACCATTATCAAAAAAAGAAAGATCTACGTTAAAAAATTACTATGACAGCCAATGACAATAGATCTCTCGGCTTCCGGTAGATGGCAGTGTATCTCGTTTATGTCAGAAGTAGGATACAGAGACCGCCGACGGGCGCAGCTTAAAAAATGCAACAGGTCTGATTCTGCTATTCCTAATCTGCAAGTGACAACCACTGGAGTAGGCATGGCCTCTTGAACTATGATTTAAGAAAATCTTTTCAATCCTTTGAAGATTCGGGGGTTTTTTAAAATGTTCAATTTAATTAATTTAAATATTAATTTCTTAAGTTTTCGTGGAAACTAAATATTGAATAATACCATTTTTACGAATTTTATGGAAACTCCATAACTATTATGTATTTCCGAAGTCTTGAATGCTTTGTATCACCCATGTTCACGGGGCATCATAGGTGACTGGATGCTACTTACCATCTGCATAGAATCCTCTAATCGATAAAATAAAGTTGTAACCTAGGCATACTGTTGCAAAACTTCAAAATACTGTAAGTTCATTCTGCGTAGATCGATCTAAAATCAATAATTAACTTCAGTCCGTCATGAACATGGGTGCCAGAAAACACTTGAAACGTCATATAAAATATAAAAAATAAAATCAAGCGCGAGATAATACATAAAAACTATAATACCTACATATATAGTTATTTAATGTTTCTGCTAGGAGATGGGTACGGAACATAATAATCTATTACAATAACAAAAGAAATGACGGAATAACCTGTTAGTCCATTACCGTACAAAATATGAAGGAAAGACGGTCTACTAGTTTAAAAAAAATATAGATTTAGAAAATGAAACCGAAATGACTGATGGATTTTGTACATTTTATTCAATAACACCGATACCAGCGAGCAAAAAGCGAGACAATCGACCATTTACTCAATTGTGTGCCTCATAATATATTCCGAATGGCAGGAGGTCGCTGGGGTGACATCGGTACCCATTCTACACCCGTGCATTTGCATACGCCGACTGTAAGCCGTGCTACTGACTGCGAAACAAACTCGAACGTCTTCAAAATGTCAATAACAATAGTACCCACCATCGCTAGAAACATACTGGCATGGAATATTTTTGAATTTATTAGAATTTTAAAAATGGTAAGTAATAAACCAGAATGAGTTCGCCTATACGTACTGAATTATATTTAGATACCATTTTGAATGACAAGAAAATAGAATGGAAGTGAAGAACTAAAGATAGATAGAATTTCGTATGATTCTGAAGAACTAGGTAGATATAGATCGAACCTAAAATTAAACCAAACTTGATTGGAAAACTTTCAGTCTAACTTGTACTATTAAGTATTCTGTGGTCTAACATCGAGTATTCCATATATTATATCTAGTAGTTATACATCTAGTATCTAGAGAATTATTCGTCACTTTTTTCCGATGAGTTGTGTTTACTGAGTCAAACTCACGGTTAAATATAGCCTCCTTCACTTGTCTGAGAGTTTAAGGGCATGAAAAATCCACCGCTCAGCTCTAATTCGTAGTTAGCGGATTTTACGTCTCAGATATTATTTTTTTATTCCTCAGATAAACAGGTTAACTCACGACGTTTTCTTTTACCACTGAGCACGTGATAAACTAACACTTAAAATTAAAATTGCAATTGGCAATATCTGGCAAGGGTTGAAATTTGGTAGCTAGCTAGGTTAATCTCTCTCATAGTTGGTAGTCCCTCAGTTACTGTAATCACAAGCCAATTAAATAATCTGCCTGCCAAAGGATGCAATCGTTATCACAATACTGACGTCTCGTCTCGCACCATGATCTTCTGGGTCACTTATTCAAAAATTTCTTATCTGACGAGGTATACAAGATCTAATAACAATATCGTCTAGCCCGAACTTTCGGTCATTTTGGCCAGTTTTAAAGGTGACTGTCATCGCGCCACAAGCGAAACACATCGAAGCCTAAATCGCGCTATCAAAGTTCCGATGTAAAACAGTATATAATATATAATAGCTGTAAATTATAACATGGAGCATTGGGCGCTGCACCCGGGCGGAACACCTTGCCCGGCGGGAGAGCTCCCATTTACCTTCCACGGCCCATGTGGCCTGGTGGCCTGTGGTTAAAGCTCATTTGCGTGCTAGTGTAGTTAGTACGTTACATGTTCTAATCCCACACCTCCAAGTCCGATAGGACAATTCGAAATATTCGGAGACAGATCAGGCGCAGGTACCAACGCATTTATGGGGTTGAAAAAGCGCTAATAAACTGACCTCGGAATGCTATTGAGAGTTTTCTGACAGAAAAACCCAATAAATGATTTTAATCTAATCTGGGAATCGAATCCGTGACCACAAACTCCCAATAGACGAGATAGAGTGATTGGATCTCTTACACCGCTACCATACGAAGTAACATCCTATTTGTTACTTGGAGTGAATACTATTTGTGATTTGTTGCAAATTTTACACAACTAAAATTTTCAAATCCATTTCATGCACGTATTATGTAGGTGGTAATTTAATGATTTATATTGTTTTAAGACAGCATAATACGAGTATAGTAAACAACATTTACCAGCATATACAAGTAAACGTTTACATAACATTTCATTACATAAAGTGTAGATAAAAACAAGTGAATCATTATGCACATTTTCTCATGTAAATTGTGTTACTATAATCACATGAACTATAACCAATTTTGCCTCGACTGCCTCGTTGGTCTAGTGGTTGTAGTAGTGTGACTACTGGTCATGAGGCCCTGGGTCCGAATCTGGGATCGGGCCAAAAACTCAATAATTGAGTTTTCCTGTCAAGAAATTCTCAGTAGCTGCCAGGAGTCAGGAAGGTGTCTCATCTCCGTGCCTCGGAAACCATGTAAAGCCATTGGTCCTGCGCCTGGTCTTCTCTCCGGTCGTGTCGATTAACCGTCCCAGTAGATTATGAGAGTGAGGAAATAGAGAATGCACCTGTGCTTGCGCATATACTTGGGCTCTATAATCCTGTCCTGCGCCGATGGCTAGTCAATCCGGTCTGGAGGACATTATTATAACAATTTTTTTTATAGGATAACGGTGACAAACTGATGATAAGTAGATACTGTGGCAGATAGAAATCCACATCTATCATCGATTAAGAATCAAAATGCAGGTTCTCTTTCACTGTCACCCTTGAAGACTAAGATCGAATCGTTGCCAGTAAAGTAAAGGTCTCCGATTCTATATGTTCACCACACGACGCTCAGCAATATTCCACTGTTTCACGCTTGTATTCTGTGAGAGTGTAGTCCTATCTCGACCGAGTAGACCCATTCTTGCTGCAGCTAGTTTTATAGCTGCAGCGTGGCTCTACCATGTAAAAATTAAAGTGTGACCGAAACGTTTGTACAAACTATGTTTTTCATTAATCTTGAGATAACATAAAATTAGTAACACGCTAAAGATAAGCATGTCTTTTAAAACGCAAATATTTATGTAGGTATTGTAATGTCGCGAAATAAATAACACAAATATCTTTATAACGAAGTAATAATATATTTATTTGAAATAGATTATAACTAACGTCCGGTTATCATATTAAAAAAAAAACTTTCCAATAACAACTAATTTGGTCTACAAACAATTTTTAGATGCATTTTATTTATAATTCATCGGATTGTTAAATTGATTGATTGTTAGGTCCTTAAAACCAGGAATACCTAGAGCACAAGCCAAGTTACAGCCTATTTAAGATTTAAGCCTCCTCTTGTTTCCGAGAGTAATATCCTCTGCAAGCAAGGTCTGCCACGCTGCTCTAATGCGTGTTTGTAGATTGAGATTTCTACGAAATATTTTTTAATTCTCAAAGAAGTAGGTTTCCTTACTACGTTTCCCTTCATAAACGAATACGTAGTAAATCAGCACTTAAATTGCAAATATAGTGCCACCTACTTTAACGTTCGTTCAGTGGAGAGCTTATTACTGACACTTAAGAAATTTACCGAGGAAATAGGTGACTACATATATTATATATTTATTTGCACTTTTTACAATGAAATCAAACAAAACACTTTCCTCCCAGCACAGAATAAATAATAGCTTACAGCGAAATGTCATTTATAAAATGGCGGCCTTAGTTCCAATTTTGTCCACCTGAACAGATAAGTTGGTAGGTAAGTAAGAGTCATGCTGCAGTTATATTAGTAGTA